GGTGTCCGCTGGCCTCGCCTCTCCCCAGCCGACACCTCACAGCCTGTTTGGGGACCTAGGACACTGGCTTAGCGAGGCTTCTGCTGACCGCCCGCTATCCGCTCTGAAAGAAACCAAAGGACACCGGGGGCTGGGCATGTGCCGGGAAGCATTTTCCATGAATTTCTTTACCAAATGGGTGGGAATAGGCCCGTGTGAGGGGGAAGGGCCCAGACTCCCTCCTGCCTGGTCCTCATGCCCTTAAATCACTCACACGACTAAAAGCCAACCAGACGGCCCTCAGCACGTGGCGTCACCTGTCTGCTCATCCAGGTCGCCTGCAGGCTGGGGGGCCGAGGGGAGCGAGGCAGGCGTGTCCCGTGTGCCGGCGGGGGGCTGGACGTGTCCAGGACAGACAGTGACCGGTCCGGGAAGAGGGAGGGAACGGCATGAATATCGCGTCCGGGGGGCAGGAGTCCCACCTGGGCCCGGCAGGGGGGGTGCTGCGCAGAGCTGGCCCTGGACGGCAGGGGCGGGACACAGGCGGTGAGTGTGATCTGAGGGACGGGACGTGGCCTGGGAGCACGACCTCCACCGGCTGAGGCCCAGGGGCCGGGGGACTGAGGAGGGGCCTGCGTGGGAGGCTGTGCCAACCTCACCCGCTCCCCCAGCCGGGTCCTGTGAACTCAGCCGCAGCAGAGACGGGAGTTTCTAGAAAGCTCTCCGATCGCCTGTGGCATAAGACGTCTCACGCCACTCCTTGCCCCTACTAAAGGGAGGAGACAGCCCTTTCTGTGCCCGGCCGCGGCTGCCTCGGGTCCGAGCCGGGTCCGAGCGGCGAGGTGGAGGAGAGAACAGACAGGACACTGGGGCTGCCGGCGTCTTTATTGTGGGGGGGCGTATACACAGCCACGTGCAGTCACCGAGCTTGTTAAAAATATCTCAATAAATAAAACAAATAAGCAACATATACACTGAAACGGGAAATATAAAAACTGGTTACTGAGCGAGTCGTGGAGAGAGGCGCGGGCGCGAGTCCGGGCTTACTCGGGACTCATGCGGGGCGGGCGGGGCGCAGGTTCTTTCTCTGAGAGCCTTGGTCCAGTTTAGACAGAAGGGTACCAGGGTGCGTCTCTGTTTTATTAAAAAAATATACATTACACAAAGGCACTTAGAGGGAACTACAACTCCAAAGTCCCAATCCTCATAAATGTGTTCCTGAATCCAGAGGTTTCCAGAAAAAACACCCCCTCCCCCCAAATAAAACCCAGGAAAAAATCCAAACAGTGGCAAAGATGGCGCTGAACGTGTCACCGGCGAGGACCGTGAGCGCCACGTGCTCTGCGGGGGCCGTCGGGGAGGAGGGTGCTGGCCGGGCCTGGGTGCTGCGCGTCCCCTCGTCTGGGTCTTGCCGGAGAGCAGAGCAGGCGCCTCCTTGAGGTTGTTCGGGTTCCAAAGGCCACGGGCTCGGACGCATCCGCATTCCTCGCGCACCTCAGCCCACGAGAGTCTGGAAGACAAGGGGGAGCTTGCGTGAGACACCCCCACCTCCCTCGGCTCCTGGGGCTCCCGGCCTCCCACCGAGGGGCCTCCTCCCACCCTCCCAGCAGAAACGGGACGGGTGGCCTCTAGTTGGGCCACCAGGCATCTGCAAGCTTCCGCCCTGCACCCAGGGGCCCAGGCCAAGCACCGTCTCCCACCTCCACCCTCGCCTCCTGCACCCACTGAAGGTTTCTTCCCTGCGGGCTCTGCAGGGGCCCCCAGTATCGACTGTGGAACCGTGAGGTGAGCCAGGAGGTGAGGCTGTGGGGAGTGAGGGGTGGGAGGTGAGGACCCAGAGAAAGGAGGTGACCGTGGCTCAAGGTCCGTTGCCTGCTGTCGGGGCTGCAGGCTGACCGCCCCGTCCAGCCAGCTTGCGTCGCCCCCCGACGTGTGGCATCATGGTTCCCAGAGGCCTGAGCACATTGGGGATTTTGCGGGCCTGGCCGCCCAGGCCTTGGGTCCCGCTGCCTCGGGGGTGTGGGCGCCCACCCCAGGCCTGGTGCCGGCAGCACTCACTTCCACGGCCGGGGACACATACGAGTAACCACGTAACCGTCAGACCCCAAAGGAGGCAGGCCGTTCACGGGGACCTTGTGAGACCCCCGCTGCACTGGGCCACGCACACTGGGGCCACCTAAGCGAGGTGGACGTGCCCTCATCCAGAGGCGCGTGGGGGGGGCTGTGGCCTCAGAGCCGACACAGAGACTGGGTCCGCCGCAGGGGCTGGGGCGGGGCTCGGGGACAGGTGGGAGTCGGGGACGGCGTCACCGTCACCGAGGAGGAGGCAGGAAACTGTCACCCGGAGGAGTCTGCTGAGGGGGTTGTGGGGGGCAGGACGTCGCGGGGAGGCGGCCAGGTCCTGGGAGGAGGTGAGTGAAGGCACAGAAACGAGGAAGGGCTTCTGATAGGGTGACGGCGACGCCCCAGCCCCGCGTCTGTCAGTGTGAGTGTGAGTGTGTCAGTGTGCGTGTGTCAGTGTGTCTGTGTCCGTGTGTCCGTGTGAGTGTGTCCGTGTGAGTGTCAGTGTGTCAGTGAGTGTGTCAGTGTGTGTGTCCGTGTGTCCGTGAGTGTGTCCGTGTGAGTGTTAGTGTGTCAGTGTGTGTCCGTGTGAGTGTGTCCGTGTGAGCAGGTGGCCCTGACGCAGGGGGCAGCAGGGGTACGAGTCCCCCCTCGCACCCGAGCCCACACTGGCCCCTGCTCCTCTGGGAAGCCCAGAACCTTTGCTGAGTTAAGACAAAGATCTGAAGAGGCTCAGACAGGCTTTCCCCAGAACTCGTGGTGCAGACACACGCAGACACACGTGGACACAC